CAAAAACATCACCAATTATTGAAAAGTTATGTGATTATGATAATTGTAAAATATCAAGTACAGATTTTCAAGTATTATTATGTGGTCATTCTTACCACGAAGAATGTTTTTGGGTGTTAAGACTTCAATGCAATTACTGTTATTCCTATCTTTCAGGTGTCATTGATGATCTGACAAAATCTTATAATGAAAGACTAAACATGGATGAAGATATTAATAATGAGCCAGATTTGGAAATTAATTTACAATCAGAAGATGGTGATATGGATGCTGCTAACATATTAAATATAGATGGTGAGATTTATAGAAGCTTAAAAAAGAGAATATCAGGTAATTATAAAATTTATTAATGATTGGATAATTCAAAAATTAATAATTTTAGAAAATACTTAGCTTTTGTAGAGAAATAAATTGCCAACTGAAACTACCGATTGGTTGATCGTATGATCTGCATACAGGTTTAATCGACCAATGAGAGGATTTTTAACTATGCTTGGTGCACAACAGGAGAGACCGTTCTGGGAACACAAAAATTAACAGGAGGGAACACAAAAATTTTAACCCATGCTATTTGTTTATTGACCAATTAAATTCGCGAATTTGATAAACGTAGAAATAAATATTAATATGGGTTTGATTCATTTTGTCAACAATCACTTCACCAACAATTGTTTCATTAACGAATTTAAGAAGTTGGAAGCAACTATTGAAATAGTCTAATAAATTAAATTGTACCACTCGAACATATATTTAAAGGGCTGGTTTTTGACTTGGTTGAAGAATAACTCTCTTCTCTTGACTGTATCTCTCGATATAATCAAAATAACCTTAATATAACGAATGTCAATGAAATAATTGTATATAAACACAACAAATTATGAACAATGTATGAAAAATCAAACAAATTTATTTAATAAAAACAAAAATTTACAACCCAAAAATTTTTTTTTCATGCTCTAATAAAATTTCCATTGTTGCTGATTCAACATTGCCCAGATCATCATCAACTGTATTTTCGTTATTTTTGATAAATTCATTTTCATTTAATATTTTTCATCATACTTTCTTTTAGTGTGTTGACATTTTTTTTGATTTCGACTTGAAGATAGTCCAAGATATCAAACATTTAGATTGACACCTTTGTAGACAATGATTGTGATAACATGGGTACACTACAATTATTCAAATTAGTATAATTAGTGTAATCACATTATACATAATTGCAAAAAATATTTGTAGATAGTTTCCTAGAAGTAATAAAGTTTTAGTAATTAAAGGATACTGATTGTCTCTGGACGTGAATCTATGATAATTGTCAACATTCAACAAGAATGTATTTTTTGAATATTTTGTAAGTGCATTTCTCATGTTCATCTGCAACTTGCTTCTTTTTACAATCTACTGCTCTTGATGTTGTAGTTACTCCAAGACTTGTATCTACCGAGTCTAAATAGAATGCAAGGTTGAACTTAAAAGAGTTAATTTTTGTATTATTTAAAACAAGAAGATAACATATGAACACTAAAATGGTTGAGCTGCTAAATAGAGTTGGTCAAAAAACCCTTCAAGCTTGGTTCTATTTCTTGTAGCAATCAATCTTTTCACTTACCTCTTCCTCTTCCCCTTCCCCTTCCGCATCTGTGGTTTTTATCTCCTAGGTTCTCTTTTTAAAAGATTTTCTACAAAATTCATTTAACAAATGTTACATAAAACAACACGTTACTTTCACTAAGTTGTTGTTCTCAGCTTCTTTCCATTTATTGCCTTCCATTGATGAAATTTAGCTGATTTAGTGGTTTACATTCTGTGCAATATTTAATTTCAGGCAAATTTTCTTTGAGTAAAATGTATTATGAAAGTTGTGGGATTCAAAGGGATTCAAAAGATATGATAAATTGTAAAGCTTCAAGTTTGTGTAATTATTTACACACGATTTATTGCAAGAATGGGCTACATGGTACCCTTGCAAAAGTATTTTAAACTGTATAAAAAAAATTGAAATCAATTGTGAAAATCCATTCCTTATATAAGACGGTCTCTCCTGTTCAATCATCATATTCATGAATATTCATTAAGGGGGTTACACTTATCAAAATCAAGTGATTGTCACATAATTTTAAGGGATTTTTGGATTTTTGATAAGTGTAACCCCCTTAATAAATATTCATGAATACGGTGCAGATCATCTATAATCATTAATTGCTTATAGTAACAATTGGTCAACTTCAAAATACTAAAACAAAAA